CTGCCCACCAGTAACTAATACTTTTCCATTTAATAATACAGATGCTGCGTGATATTCTCGTGCATAACTCATGTCACTAGTAGTTGTCCAAGTACCTGTTGATGGATTATACAGCTTAGCAGTATTTAAACTAATATTACCATTGTGCCCACCAGTAATCAATACTTTCCCATTTAATAATACAGATGCTGTGTGTCGAGATCGTACATAGGTCATGTTACCAGTAGTTGTCCAAGTACCTGTTGATGGATCATACAATTCAGCATTATACGGATAATCATGGTAATTACCACCAGTAACTAGCACTTTTCCATTTGATAATACAGATGCAGTGTGAAAATGTCGTCCAATATTCATATTACTGGTAACAGACCATTCTAGATAGAAACATTTGATTGTATAGATTCTCGAGAGACTGTCTCTTGTGGAACTCAAAATGATAAAAACATGTGCGGAAAATTTTAGATTTTTTAAGATGAAAATCGTATGCGGAATGACATATGAAACAGGTTTGTATTTTATACTTGTCGTTACAATATTTATAAAAATTAATGCACTTTTTATTATATACAGCTTCTATTGATCATAGTCATTTAATGAAACTTCCTAAGTAAAAGAAAAGCAGTAGGATTCGCGAAATTTTGAATAAATTCCCATAGCAAGACCAAAAAGTGAACCTTTTTTGTTTTCTGGTTGGTCTTTTACGAATTTTTGCAATTGGAAACGGTGTCCAGACACGGTTCCAAACGAAGAAATGCAGTGATTTATCATGACCAAAGAATTTAGATCGCATCCTATCGTGTTAAATAAAGATATTTCTGTTTACACACGAAAGGGAGAGAAAGATAATTCACTAGCATTTCCGTGCCCGACAAATATGCATATGCTCCTTTCAGGCAAAATGATTTTTTTCTGTTTCCTTCTCCCTTAAAAGTAAGATATGTAGTGATATGAAACGAAGAAAAAAAAATAGATTTCGTTGCATCGGTATCAACAAAATCATGTGAGCTTTAATTATGATGAAAAATAGCGAATGCGGAGATTATTGTATCTTCGTTTCTTCTTAAGATAACGAATGAATCACTTATGACAACATCACTGTT